GGGACGAGGTCCGGGCAGGAGCTCGCAGGCCCGGGCGCAGGCCACCTGGAGCGGGTGCCGATGGCAGCGTGAAGGGACGGGCCCGGCTCCAGCTGGCTCCAAGGACGGGAGCTGTGGGGAGGGTCAAGAGGGAACGGCCTCAAGTTGCACCAGGGGAGATACCAGGGTTGGTGTTAGGAAAAATTTCCACACAGGAAGAGTGGTGACACATTGGAACAGGCTGCCCAGGGCAGTGGTGGCGTCGCTGGCCCTGGCAGTGCTCAAGAAACGTGTAGAGGAGGCGTTCAGGGCCATGGCTCAACAGGCAGGGTGCGGAGGGGCTCACGGTTGGACTCAGAGTCTCAAAGGTCTTTTCCAACCATGATTCTGTGATTCTGTGACCAAGCAGGCCTGGTGGGGATGGGGTTATGGTGCCCATGGTGACCCTGATGGTCTTTTCCACCATAGTGATCTGTGATTCCAAGGGCCGTGGCTGGCACGGCCTCCGCTGCGGCAGGGATTCCCGCAGCTCCCGGCATGAAGGCAGCAGTGGTGCGGAGCAACCGGGCCCTGCGGGAGCCTCCGTGCAACGCGGCAGATCCCAGCGTGGCAGCAGCGGCACCTTGGATGCTCCGTGGCACCTCCTCGACCTTGCGGGAGCTCTGGGACGCCTGTCCGTGAAGTGACTCTCCCAATGGCAGCACAATGAGCGGCTGCGTGTCCCCAGGAGGAGCATTGAGTCCCTGGATCTCTCCTGAGCCTTCTGAAAGAATAGGAGCCCTGCAGAGGAGGATCCTCACCGGTCTGGGAGGTTTGCACAGGGAAATAGCAAATTCCACAGCTGTTGCCTCTGTTCGGCCCCTCCGTGCCACACCAGGGGCACACAGAGCCCCAGCAGTTAATGCCAGAGCTGAGAACAAATCCACAGTTTTTGCAGGCGCTGGGTGGCAAGAGCTGCTCCAGCAGGAACAGCCCCTCGGTGTTCCTTGCCCCTGGAAGCACAGCCAGGTCCCCGGCTGTCATCTCTCCTCTCCCCTTTTCGCAGTCTGAGCCCCTTGGGCTCACAAGTCCTCATCGCTCATAGAAACCCTACAACAGTTATTTTCACAGAGCCTCTTGGCCTAGCAGCCTGGCCCATCCCTGCCAGGCAGGACATTAATTTCCAGTCTAATGCACCGGGGAGAACATTGTGAAATGACTGTGTGAAGAGGCATGAGAGGAGAGATGATTTGGGGCTATTTGCCTGGCAAGGAAACGGAACCAGCTGGAGCTTTTATTTTACCTGACTCATGGCTGCATTGCAGGGATCAGATTGGGAAACACACACACACATATATATATATATATATGTGTGTGTGTATATATATATATACATATAAAATTCTGTTTTCACACCCATGTCTGTGTGTCTCTGGTGCTATGGTGGCATCCTGCTGCTGGGGGTGAAGCAGTTTAAACCACAGAGGTAAAAATTACCGGGTTCAGTAGCTTTCTTTAAAACAACAGCAGGCTGAGGCTTTCCAAAACTCATCTGAAAATGCCTTTTGCTGCACCTCGGGGGTAAAATGAAGCTGTAAAAGCTTTGGCATTATGGCCCGGGGGTTGCTTTACCAGTAGTAGAGTATTTTTAAGACTTCATACAATAAGCACAGACCAAAGCCACGGGGACAGGAAGGGCTCTGAGCAGCGTGTGCAGGTTCATACCAGCACCAGCGCTGTCACTGTGCAGGGCCATGTCACGGTGCTTCTGACAGCAACAGCAGCCTGTGCAGATGTACAAGGGAAGATCAAGTTCTTTAACCAGCAGTGAAATAGCTGCCCTAGAGCTAATTTTGAAGGTGGCTTCATTCTGCTCCAGGATTAACGGCCTCTGGTGGGGCTGGAAAGCTGCTCAGCCTGCGGGTCTGCTCAGCACCCAGCGGGTTTGCAGCCGCAGGAGCTGCCGGGGCTCACAGAGCCCCTTAACCTGCACTTCCCTCTTGCTCTTGTTCCTCTCTCCTAGGATCAGCTGCCGGTGGGATGAAGTGACCCCATGGTCCTTTTCAACATAAATTACCCCCTGATTCTCCATAAAGAACTGGATTTTCTCCAGGAGTGGGAAGGATGCAGCCAAACTCCTGCTGTAATCCCCAGACCTTAATAAGAGTTAAACCTAAGGCCCAGGAGGCCACCCACCCCTCCAAACCCTCCCAGCCTGGCAGGGTTTAAAGACCTGTTGCTGCTTGTGGAGGGTGTGTGGGATGTGCAGCTGGTATCAATTAGGGAGAACACAGGGGCTTTAACTGGTTGCTCTGACTGAGGAGTTGAGTCCCTGGATTGTGAGGAGAGAGGAATTGGGAAGCTCCCTGGATGCCACTGGAGGGTTTTGGAGAGGTGGGATGTGGTGGGGTTTTGTGCTTTGAATTTTTCCAGGTACGGCTGCATTCTAGAGGGACTTCCCTTCAGTCCCCTCTTTCCCAAGCCCTGTGACCCTGAGCCCTTTGTACCTCCTCTGTGGAGACACCATGAGGACCAAGCCCCCACGGGCTGTGCTGGCTGTGGTGTGTTGGCAACGTGCCCCAGAGCGGTGCTCTGCATCAGCAGATCTCCTGGAATGAGCTGCTCAAGAGCTGCTGACATGACCCTCTCCCTGCAGTTTTCCTGCAGGATAATTCAGCAGGCAATGAACTTGGACATGGAAAGAGCCAGGGAAGTGTCGGCTCTGCAGGCCCCTGCGGGTGACTCCTCCAGGAGCTGCTCGTCCCGTGGCTGCATGAGCCAGGGCAGAGGCGGGGGTGTCCCCGGCTGGGACGGGGACTCACGTCTGTACCCACGTGCTGCTCTTAGCAGGCATCTAAGGTCACCGTGACTGCATGGAGACCCAGGCTGGTCTGAAGGTAACGGGTCTATGTTGTTACCCTGTCTCGACAGCCCTTGAGGTGCAGAGAAACTGCTGGTACCTCTGTCTGCGCTGAGACCTGATCCTTTGCTGGGGCTGATAACCTGGATGCAGAGTCCACAGCTCCTGGGGGCTGGGAAGGCTGGAAACCTGCTGTGTCCACAGCTCGTCCTGGAATGTCTCCCAGCCAGTGCCTGGGGTCGCCCACGGAGTCCCCAGCAGAGCTGGGAGCTGGAGCAGCCTCTCCAGAGCTCTAGCCCCCAGCCTGGTCCATGCCCATCTGCCCCAGGTAAAGAAACATGTTGTCCACTGGCAAGCGTTTGGCCTGGCTATAGCCTGGATTCCCTCAAGGAAAACCGGGAGCATTTGGGGCTCTGGCAGCTCTGCTAGGCTCAGAGTTGGCTGTGACCTGCCGGGAGGAGGACACAGAAACTGGCCACCAAAGCTCTTGTTGCAGGACTTTGTTCATTGTAGATAGTTGTAAAGGTCCTGGCTAGCCAGAAAGCCTCCCATGTGGCCAAGATGCTCTGGGATGGAGAGAACAGCCGGATTTCTTCCCAGAACCAAAACAGGGTTGAAAGGGCTCCGTGAGAAGATCAAGGGCTCCGTGTCCAAAGCCGACGTCTAGCTTGTGCGAAGAGCTCAGCCCCTGTGGTGCTCGCCCAGCTCTGCAAGGCCTCCTGCTGCGCTGATGTCCTCCCAGGAGTTGATTTCCATAGTGCTTCACCAGCTCCAAAGCAGGAATCCTACGCCTGGGAAAATAGGGTTTAACTTCTTTCCCGGTAGCCTTCCTGCTTGCCCTTGGCTGCATCCCCTTAGGGAAGCTGCAGAACCAGCTCTTTTCCCCCTGCAAAGATCAGACTCCAGGGGGGAACTTGCTTTTTGCAGAAGACAAGGGGGCTTTTGCTGGCAAGCTCTGCATTGAAGCACTGGTTCTTTCTGAATTCTTAGTGCCAAGTGAGTTTTTAGGTATTTGCTTCCTCTAAAAGGATGTAAACAGGAACTCCACCCATCCCAAACTGCATCCCTTGATTTCACAATAAATCCTCAAATACGATGGCACGTTCCTCCCAGGATGAAAATATCTGCAGACTTCATTACTGCAGCCAGGGACAAGATCCGGGCAGGGCCGTGTGCCCTCAGGATCCGGCAAGCGGAGGCCGGGAGGGGAATCCTGGCTCCACCGGAGCTGGCGGGTGCTACCTGTGCAGTCAGGATTTCATCCCGAGGCTGCGCTGCTGAGGAAGGGGCTGGATTTTCCTGCCTTTCCTTAGGGCAGGGTAGCCTTTTCCACCCAGATGTGCTGCTCGGCTCTTTGCTGAGCTCGCTTGGCGATTTACAGCAGTTAATATCACAATACAGTCGACTTGTGTGCAGCAGTAGTTGGGATGGATCCAATCCCTAATGCTTCTCTAGTCCCAGGCTAGATTAGCACAGGATTTGGACTGGAACGCAAACCTGGAAGAGGCTGTCCTGGCCATTAAGTTCCAGGTAACCAGTTTAGGGAAAAGCATCCAGAGACCATTTACCCTTCCTGCTCCAAAGCAGGTGGACCTGCAGAGCTCTCACCAAACCTCACAGCAAAATTAAGGCCTCAATAAATGTTGGCAGGTTTTGTTCTTTTCTAGTGATATAGCAGTGATGGAGAAATCAGCAGCGTCGCTTGCATCCTGCAGCCATTTTAATAGCAGGGAAGAGGCTGGGAGAAAACGCCCAGCCGATCTGAACCGCATCCCATCCCGGATGACACGGCAAGGAGCAGGCAGCCCGGCACCTTCCCGGCCTCGTGTCTGCAGCCAGCGCAGCCCAAGCGGGTGAGCAGGATCAAGCGAGAGTCAGCAGCTGGGCAAGGAGCAACAAGACAAAACTCGCGTGTTTTGGGCCATTGGAAACTCCCCATCTCTGCTGGTCCACGTTTGTTTAATATAATGCTGGTAGAGCTCATCAAGTTAAAACGGGGCCAGCAGAGACATTCGTTGCCTGTGATCTGCTCGGACCATGACTTTTGCTAAGCCTGGCCACCTACGAGACCAGAAACCGTCCTGGGAAGAGCCGTCCTGCAGCCACCGGCGCGTTGCATGGAGCACAGAGCAGCTGGGAGGCATTGGGCAGCTCTGAACCGAGACGGGACGAGCCTGGCTTCCCTTGCCGTGCTGCCAGGGAGCACCCTGAGCCAAAAACTCTGCATTCATTTGCAGAGCTTTATTCATTTGCAATAGCTTTATTCTTCAGTGTTACATGATTTTTAGCAGATATCTACATGTCATCTCTTTTATTAATACAAATTCAGAAAAGCCATTGGCTGCGGCTGGTAGGTGAACCCAGAGTACCCAGCAAGGTAAATTAAACACTCAGTATTCCTTGCTTGGGGGAGATTTTAAGCAGGGCTGACATCTTTATCCTTTCTCTTGAAACAGCTCAGGCAAACAGAAGACCCAAGTCGGTGTCAACGTGGGTGTTTCCTCCCTTTGGTCATTAGGAGCACTGAACCTTCACGTTCTCCTGGCTATTGCCAAGTGGGTTGCTCACTGGGGTGAACAGTCAGTTATTAGCACTAGATTCCCCCCAAAAAACTTGCTCCATGAGTGTATGGAGCACCCTGAAATTGGGGATCTGGAACAAACACCTGCCCTTTGTGTCCTGCTTGAAGAAGGTAGAGCTTGTCTGGCTGGGATGCTCTTCTGGTTCCTCTCCAGAAAGAAGCAGCCACTTGTGCATGTTTAGGGTTCAGAGAATTAATTTGTCTTAATTACTCTAAAAGATACTCTCTCCTAACAGCAACTTAGTCTGGGTTTATTAGGAGAGGTCTATACTTCTTGCCAATGTCCTGCTGCACTTGGTTGCACTTGCATGTTTTATAAATGACTTTATTCTTGTTGCTTTAGGTGGAAACTTAACACACTGGTTAAACTTAGTGCTGGTTTACCTGGTGCTGAATTTTCCTCACAAAACTCCTGACAGTGAGTTTGGTGGTGGTTACATGGTTCCTTTGAGGTTTTGCAGCAGGTTTATGTTAAAAGCAGAACTGGCAAGATCGTGGCTCAAGATCCAACTATTGCTTCTCGGACACGGAACAGGGTGTGAAGCAGGACGTGCGTTAAACGCTCTCCCTTTAGGAAACCCAAACACCCTGGTGCCGCCCACACCGCCGCTCGTGTCCTCGCTGTGCCAGGCGTGGGCAGCCCCTCCTCCCGTCCCCCGCGTGGCAGGAGACTCCTGGCCGTAGGCGAGCAGCTCGTTCGAGACAACAGCATGTCCTGGAGCGCCAAAAGGGCAGGAATCTCCATCCTGGCCACCTGCCTTCAGCTCCCAACTGCTGGAGGGCAGTGGATGTTTATGCCACCTCCAGTGTATCAAATCTGTCGCATGGAGACATAATCCTTCGTTGCAGGGAGCTGTTGCAGAAGTGGTTGTGAAACCCCTTAGCCTCTTGGAGAGGGAAAGGAAGGAGGTGATTTGCACTGTGCTAATGTGCTCCAGCTCCAAATTCCACAGGGCTTCCCAAGTGCTAATTAATTAAGAGTCTGTTTTCAGTGATGGACAAGCAGAAGTATGGGAAGAAGGGGACTGCAGCCGGGGTGGCACAGGGACACGGTGTGCCTGGAGCTGCAGGAAGGCTAAGACACGGCCCTTGGGATACCTGGGCCCCGGGAAGGTCCCTGCCTTCATCCTTCCAAGGCTGCACACGGAGGATCCCTGTCCCATTCCCACCCCAGGCCAGCAAGGACTAAGAGTGCCCTCTGCTGCACTCGCTCGCCTTGTCCTTTCGTGGTAACATCTGCTTGATCCTTGGGAATGAACAAAATGACTTTTTTGTACATATTAAGAAAAAAAAATCCTTCCCATTTAAAATGTATTTCTTAACGAATTCCTAGTTGGTTATGTATTTCAGTAGCAAACAGAAATAATAATGCCCTGGGTCACCAATGTGTGATATCCTGCCTTGATTTTGAGGCATAAATAAAGCCCTGCAGGGAACTGCTGTCCTTTAGCAGTGACCTTCACCCGGGAGCTTCTCCCAGCCTCGGAAAAGAAGCGGCTCCTCCTGGCCGGAGCCCGGGCCCTTTCGCTCCTCGGAGCTGGCAGCGCTGCTGGTGCAGGGACAGGGACGGTCCCTAATTGCTCCCGAGGGGGCTCTGCTTCCCAGCTCTCCCTCCTGCTCGAAAGGAGAAGAAACGAAAGCGCCCGACCGAGCTGTGCTCATTCAAATCCTCGGCTCTTGCAGCCAGGGAGGGACGGAGGGGAAGGGGAGACAAGGAAGCTGTTCCAGGCTTCGGACTTCTGGAATTAAAGAGGGAGGAATAAAAAACCCACCCAACTTTCTGGAGCTCTATGGGGGTTTGATTTACCCACGTGAACCGTAACCGAGCTGCGGGCTCTGCCGGCAGCCCTGTAACCGCTGGGGCCGCAGGAATTCGCTCATATTCCCTGGAATTTGCACCCCGTTTGCGTTGCCTTCCAGGTTGTCGCTCAGCGGCAGGGCACGCCTCCTCCGCGAGCCTATTTAAAGAGGAGCTGGTGCGCGGCTTGCTGCGAAGAGCCAAGGAATTCCGGAGGAGCGAGAGCGCGAACGCCGGGATGGGAAACCTGCCTCCCCGCTTGGCTTGGCTCGGGATGTCCGGCCGCTCGGGGACAGTGACGGGGACCCTCCTGCTCCTGCTCCTCGCGCCCGGCTGGGTACGTGCGGCGCAGCCCACGCTCCCCGCGCTGCTGGTGCTCCCCA